TACTCTTTTACCAACGAATAGTGGGATTGACCGTCACATTATAATGCCCCTACGGTTGAAAGGGCGAGCATGTTTGGTGTGACTGGGAATCGAACCCGCGACCCACAGATTGCGAGTCGAGTGCCCTAACCACCTGGCCATGCCGGGCCAAGACTGAAGTATCAGATGATAACACAAAGTGTACAAAAATCCATAGTTATGATCAGGAATAGTTGTTAGAATTTTGTCGCGTTAGACAAGAGTTTAAAATGCCTTTCCCCGCGGAAACCTTGTACCATTATCATCGGTAAATATATATATATACATAACATTAAATAAACTTTAGCAGGCCTATTTGTGTCATTCTTCGAACTGTTTAGATTCAGAAGAACTCAATTTTGTTCGTCTTTTGTTAGCCTGCAAAAGTATTCAAGGCCTAGTTTTTCTTAATGTAGTAGATGCTTGTATTATATTTAAAATTTATTACCTTATAGTGTCTATGAACAGTTTCCAGATTGATAAGATACGGCAAAGGATGTAGAGCGAGAACGAAATAGCCAATTCTACTGAAAGTAAAATTAATATAATTTTTGTATTGATTTGTGCCCACTGATGGTTCAGCGGTAAGTCTGAGATGGCTAATAATGCTAAAACCCAGATCTCGATACCCGCATTTGGCACAGCACAGCCAGCCCACTGAGCAGCTTTGTGTTAACAACAAATAAATTTATTGGTTTTGCCTTCCTAGGCAGTTTGTTAATTAACTCATCTACCCACTGTAGTCGGGGCCCTCGTTAGGATAAGTGTAGCACCTTAGTAAAGTTAACACTTTCTTTGTTACGTTTGTTTAAATTGATATATGGCCAAAATATGTAAACTTGTATTTTCTAGGAACTTTTACAGAGGGTAAACAATGACTTATAATTCGTAAACCTGAGAAATAGTTTGTTTGTTTTGAATTTCTCGCAAAGCTACACGAGGGCTATCTGCCTTAGCCGTCCCTAAGTGAAAGGCTAGAGGGAAGGCAGCTAGTCATCACCACCCACCGCCAACTCTTGGGCTACTCTTTTTACCAACGAATAGTGGGATTGACCATCACGTTATAAAGCCCCCACGGCTGAAAGGACGAGCATGTTTGGTGTGACGGGGATTCGAACTCGCGAGTATTACAGATAAGAGAGATAAAGTAGGTGAATTATAATCCCATCGAATCAAGTTCTTAGATGACAGAAGAATTGAAGTTTTCTAAGTTAATTTGTTTTGCTGAGTTTAATCACACGTTATAAGAACGATTACTGAGATCCCGTGCTATCCTTGAAACTATTTCTTCCTCCATCATCGATCGTGTGTAGACTGATGGTCAATATTACAATTTCCATTGTAACATGGTGATACCTACCTTAGAACACTCATCTTGACCATCATTCCACAAAATATTTAACCACTTTCAAAGGCATAAAATCAATTAGAATTGTTGTGGAGGGGAATATAGCAGATATTTAGTGAAATGGGATTGCTAGGTTTACAATTTCTTTGGCTACTGATTATCATGAAACAACCGTCATCACGAGGTGTTACAGAAGGTTTCTGAACCTTTGCTTTGTAAATCTTCGTGTTCTTTACTTTCTTAACACTACCATGAAACATGCCCAGCTTCAACATTTATTAATAAGTCGGGGAATTATTTTTCGTATTCATAGTTTTTACTTTTCTATTGAAAACGTTGCTCCGATCGGGAAGGTGGGGGTGAGACTTTTTCGCTTGTTTCCACAGGTAACACTAAAGGCTCCCTTCTTCGAAATGTTATGAATATATTTCTTAAGAAATGCTTTATATATATATATATATATATTATTCCAGCAATAAGTAAATCTATGATAGCATTGCAATGTCAAAAGGTTGGGAATTCGATGTCAAATGACACGCGTAGGTATAAAAAACACGTTTCCTGTAGCACTATTCCATCATTACGTCAGCATATATACAAATCATTTATATGAAGTGCATTTCACCCTCACAATTTCAAGTTCGTTTTGTACTTAACTCTCTGTGTCTGCGAACCTAACTTTCCAGACGGTTAAAGTTTATATCAAATGGCATCGTAATATTTCTGCTAATTTTATGAGTGGTTGATAGGCGGCCAGAATTGGTATCAGGAAAATATTATTTATTTAAATTACAATTTTCGTAAACTGTAAAATGATAGCGTTTTAAATTGCGATTAAAATGTTTAATTTTATCTTTTTTTTTGCTGCCCTCTATCGTTGTTAGTTCCCGTGGATCTTCCAGGTAAGTAATTTAATACCAAGTATTAGGATATCAAAGGTACCTTGACACTTACCAAAACAAAATCTTTATAATGAATTTAATCAAATATTTTTTTCTACCAATACTAAAATAATGCTTATTTTTTTACAGAATTTACTTTTAAATAAGAAAAATTCATATGAGTTGTCAATTTTAGAAGGTTATTTTCCGTATATACTGAATTTGTAGTGTTTCAAGTGCAAAACACATTTTTTGTTTTAACTAACTTATACTGCAAGTACTGTATATAAGTTCTACAGAAAAGCTACGATTCCTTTAATCTATATAAATATAATAGTACTGTCTGTCCATGTAATTACTTCGGAGGGTGTGGATGGATCTTCACCCAAAATTGGTATGAAGGTTCATTAGGTCAATGAGGGGGTACATATAAATTTTTAGTTTTGCATTTGCGTTATGTGGTTTTTATGGGTATGTTTGCGTTTTTTACCACTACTTCGCCCCTTGTAGGTGGATCTTCACCAAATTTGGCATGACGGTTTGTTCAGTTTTGTGTTTTGCGATTTTGATGGGCGTTTTTTACCACTCCTTCGCCCCCTGTGAATGGACTTTCACCAAATTTAGTATGGAGGTTCATTGGGTCCCTGGGGAGATACATACAAATTTTTAGTTTTGTATTTTGCGTTTTGCAATTTTTGTGGAAGTTTTTGTGTTTGTTTTTTTTACAATTACATATAAGGGAAGCAACTTTTCATATCCTAAGAAAACCTTTCATTAATCATGAATTTACATAACTTGCGTCCAGGAGACGGATATTGCAACTAGTATCATTAATAAGGTAGTTATATAAAAGTAATATAACATGAAACTATACACAATATCTCTTTTATAATTACATATAACTTTTCATATCCTAAGAAAACCTTTCATTAATCTTGAATTTACATAACTTGCGTCCAGGAGACGGATACTGTAACTAGTATCATTAATAAGGTAGTTATATAAAAGTAATATAACATGAAACTATACACAATATCTCTTTTATAATTTCCAATGTATTGATTGTTAATTTCAACAGGTTCTCGGAGTATGGAGTACAGACTACATTCCTAGAGGAACTCGATTCGGACCTTTAGTTGGTGAAATTTACAACAAAGATAATGTTCCGACAAATGCCAATAGGAAATACTTTTGGAGGGTAATTATTATTACTTTTAAATCGATATAGATACTCCGTAATTCACCATCATTTACGGAATTATTTTATTTTCATTTAGAAATCAGACATAATGGTAAAAAAAAAATAGTCCCACGTATTAACCTAACATTGGTCGCTGGTGATGCGAAATTGACAACAAGTATGAACTTGATGTATTGTCGCCTAGATGTATGATTCTCAAACGTGCGCTACGCACTTTGGAGCCTTGAGTGCGTTATAAGAGTGACGGTCAAAGACCTATTATTCGATTAGAGTACATAGCCTAGTGGTTAGGGCACTCGACTCACAATCCGCGAGTCGCGAGCTGAAATCCCGTCACCGAACATGCTCGAATTTTCAGCCGTAGTACCGTTATAATACTATTCTTTGGTAAAGAGTAACACAAAAGTTGGCAGTGGATGGTATTGACTAGCTAGCTGCCTTCCTTCTAGTCTATCACTTCAAATTTTGGAACGGCTAGCACAGTTAACCCTCGAGTAGCTGTAAGCGAAATTCAAAACAACAAAATTGATTTGAATAGCTTAAGAGGTGGTTGTGGCCGATATTGACTAGCTGCCTTAACTCTAGTCTATTGTGTTAATTGTGTTAATTTGCACAAATATCCCGAACGAACAAAGAAACAAGCCATGTAAATGTTTATCATCCACATTGTTCTATTGAATTTGAAATTTATATCCAACTAGCGTATAGCCCATCAAAAATAATGGTACTACCACCCCCATCTCATCGTATACCCCTAACCTTACATTTCATAGCTAACTGAGATAAATAAATTTTGTGAAATCAAGCTCGACCAACAAAGAGTCGAGGCAGTCAAATGTCGGTATATTCCTTTGTGAGCCAATCAAAATTAAGATTATTCATGAAATGAATTCGTGGCGTATTCATAGAATAATTATTGGGAAAAATTAGTTAAATTAACAACTTCTAATATATAGAAAAGCCAGTGCGTTTGTTAACACAACGTTCCAACAATGGCCTTTATGTCATGTTGCTTAGCAACAAAAAATATAACCTAATATTGTTATTAGTCTATGTACTGAAAGTCCAAAATGAAATCTATAGACATCAAACCTGGAAAAATATTTTATATATTTCTCAACTGAGAGTCTTCGTTGATTAAAGAGTTTTTTTATTAAAAATGTTGGTGATATAACAGAAAATAGCTTAATTCAGAAAC